GCGCTCCCTCAGCACTGACCCTCCGACAGTGCGGCACTCCCTCAGCAATGACCCTCCGACAGTGCGGCGCTCCCTCAGTACAGTATTGTGTGTGTGGTGGGATGGGGGGTGTTCACTGGATGTTATGAGCCTCAGGCTCTGGGACAGAGGTCATCCTCCTCCTCCTGGTCAGTGCTGACCCATGGTTCCAGCAGAATGTGCTTCCCCCCGTGGTTGATCAGCCAAGTCTGAGCCGCACACGGGTTTATCAGGAACCACTGTCCCCTCCCCCGCCGGGTTGTACCTCGGGTCACGAAGCAGCTGACTCCCCTCACCGACATGACCCAGTCCTCCGTGCCGCAGCTAATGCGGTCCCGCAGTGGGAGCCGGTGCACCCGCTAGAACCTTCCGGAGGGGAACAGGAGCCGGCGCGCGGGTTCCCTGCTCTGGTCGATGTGGTTACATTGTTGCAGGCTTCAGCTGAGGCTAACCCAAGGAATAACTACCTTTAATTGACAGGGAACATCCAACATTCTCAAATTATCTTAAAATGGTCTTAAATGAAACCAGTGAATGCCATTTGTAGCAAGTTGCAATAAATAGAGAAACTTCGTAAATAGAAGCGGGAGTGGGCCATTCGGCCCTTTGAGCTTAATCCACGAATTTAATACGAACATGATCATCCAACTCAGTATCCTGTTCCCACTTTCTCCCTGTACTCTTTCAACCCTTTTGCCCCAAGAACCTCATCAAACTCCTTGAATCCACCTGATCATCATTCTCTGGGTGACCATAAAATCTAACAGCAGAAGCAGGCCATTCAGCCCATCGAGTTTGCTCCATTATTCAACAAGATCATGGCTGACCTGATAATTCTCATTTCCAATTTCCTGCCTTTTCTCTATAGTCCTTGATTCCCTTACTGATGAAATATCTGTCTAACCTGGCCTTGCATATACTTAATAATCCAGCTTCTCCAGCCCTCCGTAGTAAAGAATTCCATAGATTCACCAACCTCTGACAAAAGAAATCTCTTCTCTGTCTTTAATGGGAGAGTCCTTATTCTGAGTTTATGCCCCCTCCCACAGGGGAGGCAATCTTTTCCACATCTACCCTGTCAAGTCCCCTAACAATGTTTGTCTCAACCTTTCAATTTCTTTAGTTTCAACACTTATGTTTCAATTCTATTTTTCAATAAGATGACCTCTCATACTTCTAAGTGCCAATGTTTCTAACCCAATCTACTCAACCTCTCCTCATAAGACCCTACAATGCTGTTAAAATCGAGTGAACCTTTTCTCAATTTCCTTCAATGCATTCATAAAATCTTACAAAACCCTCTGTTTTGTAGCTTTCTGCCGTCTTTTTCCATTTAAATGATAGTCAGCATTTCGATTCTTCCTGCCAAAGTGTCTAACCTCATATTTTCCCACATTATATTCCACCTACCAGGTTTTTGCCCACCGGTCAATATCCCTCTTCAGACTTCTCATCACTTATTCTTGTCTCATCCGCAAAATTGGCAAAATTCACTTTCCTCATTCAAGTTATTTATATATATTGTAAATAGTTCTGGTCCCAGCACTGATCCCTGATTACAGGTTGGCATCCTAAAAGTTCCCCCACACCTTATCTCAACCCTCTGTTTTCTTTTAATTAGCCAGTCCTCTCTCTATGTTAATATGCTACCTCAAACACAAGGGCTAATGTGGGGTATTTTATCAAAAGCATTCTGAAAATCTGAATATTATATCCACTGCTTCCCCTTTACCTATCCTGCTCTTTACCTCCTCAAAGAATTCCAGTAAATTGGTCAGCCATGATCTCCCCTTCATGAAGCCATGATGACTCTCTTTGATCGTATTATCTATTCCTAAATGTTCTGCTATTAGTTCCTTTATAATACTGTCTAACATTTTGTCATAACAGACATTAAACTAACTGGCCTATAGTTTCCTGTTTTTTTTTAATCCTTCCCTTTTTAAGTTAAAGTGTTATATTAATAGTTTTCCAGTCCGCTTTGACTTTTCAAATATCTAAGGATTCTTGGAAAGTTACTAGCAGCGCATTCACTATCTCTGTACCTCATTCCCAAAATGTCCCAGGATGCATCCCATCATGTCCAGAAAATGTTTTGGTCATTAACCCCCTTAATTTCCCCAGTACTTTTTCTCTAGTGATGTTTATTGTATTTATTTCCTCATTCTTTTGCCTTTGATTCTTTAGAATTTTTGGAATGCTCTTGGTGTCTTCTACTGTAAAAACTTATGCAAAATATTTATTCAGTTCCTGTACCATTTCCTGGTTCCACAGTATTATTTCCCAAGCCTCGTTCTCTGAGAGACCTATGTTCGCTTTGATCTCCCTCTTCCTTTTTAAATATTTAAAGAAGTTGTTGGTGTCCAACTTAATATTCCAACAGGTTTATTTGAAAACACAAGCTTTTGGAGTCTTACTCCTTCAGGTGTTAGTGAGAGAGGTAGTATCCGACACAGAATTTATAAGTAAAAGATCAAAGGGTCATACAATTGATAAGGATGTGCTAGACAAACCTGAGATGCTGTTAAATCTTCAATCAGTTAGAAGGTTTTAGTTGATTAATATGAATATGTACATATTCCCGGATTCCTTTCAAGTCCCTGTCCTGTGAGAACTAAAGATTTTATCAGTGTAAAGAATAGGTGAAATTTTAGGTCAGACAATGCATGTTAGGTGTGAGATAGTAAGAACTGCTGACACTGGAAAAGTCAGAAATAAGACAGTGTGGAACTGGAGGTACACAGCAGGCCAGGCAGCACCAGAGGAGCAGGAAAGCTGACGTTTCGGGTCGGGATGCTTCTTCAGAATTGTTTAGAATCTGTTTATGTTTTGGTCTGGAGTCAGACTGGTTTTATTTCTAAAGTAGGAATTTATATAACGCCACATTGACTGACTGTCTATAAATTGTGTGCTTTTTGAACAAAATAGAATGTATCTACAAATACAAATTCACCCCAAAAATTCATGTGTGTGTGTCTGTGTGTTTGTGTGTGTGTGAGGGGGACCAGATTTGTTCCCCAATATGCTAACATTTTCATGCACAGGTTCGAACAAGACTTCTTTGCTGCACAGAACTTCAGACCAACAGATACATTGCTAACATTTTCTTCCTTTGGACTCATGGCGAGGAATCACTGAAACAACAACATAGTGATATCAACAAGTTCCATCCCACCATCAGACTTACCATGGACTACTCTTCAGAATCAGTCTCATTCTTGGACACACGCATCTCCATCAGGGACAGACACCTCAGTACCTCACTCTACCGCAAGTCCATGGATAACCTCACGATGCTGCACTTCTCCAGCTTCCACCCTAAACATATTAAAGAAGCCATTCCCCACAGACAAGACCTATGCATACACAGGATCTGTTCGGATGAGAAGGAATGCAACTGACACCTGAAGGTGTTGAAAGACGCCCGCATAGGAACAGGATATGATGCTCAACTCATCGATCATCAGTTCCGATGCGCCACAGCGAAAACCCATAAAGACCTTGTCAGAAGACAGACACGGGATAGTTCCAATAGGGTGCCCTCTGTCATCCAGTACTTCCCGGGAGCGGAGAAACTACGCCATGTTCTTCGCAACCTTCAACACATTATCGATGATGATGAGCACCTCGCCAAGATCTTCCCTACACCTCCACTTCTCGCCTTCAAACAACCACCAAACCTTAAACAGACCATTGTTCACAGCAAACGACCCAGCCTTCAGGACAACATCGACCACAACACTATACAACCCTGTCATGGTAACCTCTGTCAGATCTTCGACATGGACACTACTATCACACGTGGGAACACCACCCACCACGTACACGGCAGATACTCATGTGATTCGGCCAATGCTGTCTATCCCATACGCTGCAGGCAAGGATGCCCCGAGGCTTGGGATATTGGCGAGACAGTGCAGACGCTACGGCAGCAGATGAATGGACACCGTGCAACAAACACCAAACAAGAATATTCCCTCCCAGTGGGGAAACACTTCAACAGTCAAGGACATTCAGCCTCGGATCTTTGGGTAAACATTCTCTAAGGCGGACTTTGGGATACACAACAATGCAGAGTTGCCGAGCAGAGGCTGATAGCCATGTTCTGTACCCATGAGGATGGCCTCAACCGGGATCTTGGGTTCATGTCGTACTACAGGTGACCCCACCACAATATGCACTCTCACACACTCATACACATGCATACATATCATTGACCAGAAACTCAACTGGACTCACCACATAAACACAGAGGCTACAAGAGCAGGTCAGAAGCCAGGAATACTGCAGTGAGTAATTCACCTCCCGACTCCTCAAAGCCTGTCCACCATCTACAAGGCACAAGTCAGGAGTGTGATGGAATACTCCCCACTTGCCTGGACGGGTGCAGCCCCAACAACACTCAAGAACTCAAGAAGCTCAACACCATCCAGGACAAAGCAGCTGCTTGATTGGCATCACATCCACAAACATCCCACTCCCTCCACCACCGACGCTCAGTAGCAGCAGTGTGTACTATCTATAAGATGCACTGCAGAAATTCACCAAAGATCCTCAGACAGCACCTTCCAAACCCACGACCACTTCCATCTAGAAGAACAAAGGCCGTAGACACATGGGAACACCATCACCTCCAAGTTTTCCTCAAAGCTACTCACCATCCTGACCTGGAAATATATCGCTGTTCCTTCACTGTCCCTGGGTCAAAACCCTGAAATTCCCTCAGTAATAGCATGTGAGTCAACTGCAGCGGTTCAAGAAGGCAGCTCACCCCCACCTTCTCAAGGGCAACTAGGGACGGGTAATAAATGCTGAGCCCAGCCAGCGACGCCCTCATCACACAAGTGATTCAGAAAAAAAACACTCACTCACACAAACACACTCTCTCTCACACACACACATACACACACACACATGTGAATCTATGCGGTGAATTTGTATTTGTAGATACATTCTATTTTGTTCAAAAATCACATAATTTATAGACAGTCAATTTGGCATTTTATAAATGCCTACTTTAGAAATAAAACCAGTTGACTTCAAACCAAAACATAAACAGATTCTAAACAAGGCCTCACACTTAACATGCATTGTCTGACCTAAAATGTCACCACTTCTTTAGAGATAGTAGGAACTGCCAATGCTGGAGTCTGAGATAACAAGGTATAGAGCTGGATGAACACAGCAGGCCAAGCAGCATCAGAGGAGCAGGAAAGCTGACATTTTGGGTCTGGATCCTCTTCTGAAGAAGGGTCTTTCTGATGAAGGGTCTAGGCCCGAAACGTCAGCCTCTCTGCTCCTATGATGCTGCTTGGCCTGCTGTGTTCATCCAGCCCTGCACCTTGTTGTCTCCAGACCCAAAACATCAGCTTTCCTGCACCTCTGATGCTGCCTGGCCTGCTCTGTTCATCCAGCTCCACACC